GCAGCCTTCTCCACTGGTATCATATTTAAGTGTCAATTTCAGCAAAAATGCAGAAGGCGTAGAAGTCTCACAAGTAAGATGACTGATGATGGACACTTCTCTGTGTAGGACTTTGTGGATTATTTCAGTCCTGTGTCAAATTTTGGAATGAATGTCGGCATCCTTTTTTCTCTCCCAAACTTAGAATCTGTATAAACTTGCCAACGAAGAAGCAAAGAAGAAAGGCTATGACTTGCGAATTGATGCTATCCCAATCGTGGCAGCCAAGGCCTCCAGGAACATTGCCAGTGATGTGAGTTGTCGATTTTACTCAGAGGATGTGATCAGTCTGAAATGGTGTTTTCACTGAACTCACTCATTAAAAAGAATTTTCCCAGACCTTTAAAACTATATCCTGATATATTTGATATTTTAAAAAAAAAAAACTAATTTGAGGGACAATGAAAAATCTGATGTACCTCAAAGGCATTTGTAACCGGTAGGACTTAGCATCTTCAGTGAGAACTGGACCACCAAGTCTAGATAAACATCCGTTTATGTATAAAATGTTAAGTGCAACTGTGAGCTTGGAGATGCATAGAAAGATGATCACTGTGCTTGTAGAAAGTGTAACTCATACACATAAGTACTCCCAGTGAGAATCCGAGTCCTGCTTTATGTAGCATTTTTGTATAAAATGCTTAAAAATGCATATGGCACTTGCCAATACAATTCACCCTTATAAGAGTATGAAAAGAAGTCAGTTGATTAGTACCAGAGGTGGCTACGAGCCAAAGCTTCCACCCTTGACAATAGCTCCTGGTTCTGTAGTGCTTACCTTTCAAAGTAATAGCATTATCATTGCCCAGTGTCTCAGGGATTCTTGAGCAACAGGCAACTGCTCTCAAAATCCCACTATTTGGAAACATGGTAATACACTGTCCTTTGTATTGGAAGATCATGTGAGTGACTCACTTTAGTTTATGTATGTTGGCACATTTCACAAATGGATTTATGCCAATAGCAATAAATAATGAAATGATAATAAATAAAAATGTATGGAGAGCTCTGTGCTAAGAGCTTTGCATGCATTATCTCAAGTAGTCTTCAAAGAACTCTTAGGGCACAGATATTGCATTATACCCCTTTTGTGGATTGCTTAAGCAACTTGCCTAAAATCACATTCCTGGCTGAGACTTCAGACATTCTCATTCCTTACCATTGTGTCATATTGTCTCCTGTTGACTCATCTATACTTTCTTACTCAGTCATCTTTAAGACTAGAATCATGTATTTTTTTAGAGAATTGGCTCCAATTCCAGGGATGAAGTCATTGGATATGGAATAAAAAAAACATGATTGGTCCAGTGGGACTAGAACCCATGACCTTATTAGGAGCATGATCTAACCGGTGAGGTTGCTGTGTCAGCTTCACTAGTATAATCAGTTTTCAAAGTAATGCCAAAAATTTGCGACCTCTACTGAATGCATGAATTTTTTATGAGATAATAAATTCTCTTTGGTTGCTGCTGCTGGTTATCCGTGGGCTAGAGTACTTCATGCTTGCAGGACCGGCCACTCATTTGATTCCTTATTACACATACAATGTCACCAAGTGAATCTCTTTTCTGACAGGCTTTTAGTACGTAAGATCCAATTCTCTGGGTTCCATGGTTCAGATGCCCTCTCCTCCATGTCCGCAGGTGACCTCTCGGGCCACTGTGTGCACTTCCTGCCTCAGAATTATTCCTTATTACTAGGACATAGGTGATTTTAGGTCAAATTAAAATGATAGCAATTCCATCTATGTTACTACTTCTGTAAGGTTTCAGGGTAAAAGCCAGGATATTGGCTTGAGCTGGTGATTATTAGCGAAAGCCAATTACGCTCTGGCTTATGCAAGATGAATGTGCACACACATGTGGCTTCTAAGGACTTATAATGAAAGCTGGCTTCGTGTATTTTTATCTTAGTACAAATACAAAGATGGGTACCGCAAGCAGCTCGGTCACCACATTGGAGCCCGGAACATTGAAGACGACCCGAAGATGATGTGGTCCATGCATGTGGCCAAGATCCAGAGTGACAGAGAGTACAAGAAGGACTTTGAGAAGTGGAAGACCAAGTTCAGCAGCCCAGTGGACATGCTGGGGGTGGTCCTGGCCAAGAACTCTCAGGCCTTGGTCAGTGACGTGGACTATAGAAACATCCTGCATCAGTGGACATGCCTGCCTGA